ACACATACGCAAAACAGAACATAATGACTCCGTGTGACCTGAACACAGAGGTGAGAGACAGAGAGATAGAGCAGAGAAGAGGGGAGTGGAAATTCTTGCCAAAATGCCAAGCTTTTAAACAGATTCTGAAAACACTCAACACTCTTTTGTAACCAGGAATGATGCAAAAAAACTTTCATGCTAATATTTCTTCATGTAATGTAGGTGCAGACTAAACAATGCTATTCCACTTTTGGCGAAGGGTGTCGTGGTGATTGGTAAACAATAATTTACATTTACATTTACATTTAGTCATTTAGCAGACGCTTTTATCCAAAGCGACTTACAAATGAGGACAAGGAAGCAATTTACACAACTATAAGAGCAACAATAAATAAGTGCTATAGGCAAGTTTCAGGTCTGTAAAGTCTAAGAAGGAAAGTATTAGTAGTATTAGTATTTTGTGTTATTTTTTTTATTTTTTTTTTTTGGGGTACAGTTAGTGTGATATCCTGAGAGGCAATTGCAGATTAGGAAGTGAAGTGGAGACTAAATAGTTGAGTTTTTAGTCGTTTCTTGAAAATAGCGAGTGACTCTGCTGTTCTGATGCAGTTAGGGAGTTCATTCCACCAACTGGGCAGATTGAGCGTGAGAGTTCGCGAAAGTGATTTCTTCCCTCTTTGGGATGGAACCACGAGGCGACGTTCATTCACAGAACGCAAGTTTCTGGAGGGCACATAGATCTGCAGAAGTGAGTGCAGATAAGAAGGAGCAAGGCCAGAAGTCACTTTGTAGGCAAACATCAGAGCTTTGAATTTGATGCGAGCAGCAACTGGCAGCCAGTGCAAACGGACTAGCAGCGGAGTGACATGTGCTCGTTTAGGTTCATTGAAGACCACTCGTGCTGCTGCGTTCTGGAGCAGCTGAAGAGGCTTGATAGGGTTAGCTGGAAGCCCAGCTAGTAGAGAGTTGCAGTAATCCAGGAGAGAACAAGAGCTTGAAAAAGGAGTTGAGCTGCATGTTCAGATAAGAAGGGTCGGATCTTTCTGATGTTATAGAGTGCGAATCTGCACGATCGAGCAGTTCTAGAAATGTGGTCAGAGAAGTTTAGTTGGTCATCAATCGTTACTCCAAGGCTTTTCACCATTTTGGATGCAGTAATGGTTGCCCCATCCATCTGGATTGAAAAGTTATGGAGTAGAGTCGGGTTGGCAGAAACTACAAGCATTTCCGTTTTTGCGAGGTTCAGCTGAAGATGATGATCTTTCATCCAGTGTGAAATATCCAACAGGCAGGCTGAGATGCGAGCTGGAACCGAGGGATCATCAGGATGAATAATGGCTGACAGGACACAAGAATCAATATTTTTATATTATGTTGAACATAACGGCATGTCTGGACCATCAGAAAATCTTTTTTATGTAATGTAGGTGCAGACTAAACAATGTGCCTCCACTTTTTGGCATGATCAGTGTAGCAAAGTGTGTTGTGGTAATTGGTAAACAATAATGGCTGACAGGATGCAAGAATTAATAGTTTTATGTTGAATGTCACGGCATGTGTGAAACAACAGAAAATTAACTTTTTCCCTCCCCATCCCTCACGATGGGTTCTATCGCATTGATAAACATTTATGAGGACTTCTGATAGTACCCAGAATAGCAAAGTCCACTAAAGGAGGTCGAACATTCTCATGCATGGCTCCAAAACTCTAGAATAGCCATCCTGCTAATGTCGGAGGCTCCGATATACTCTCTCAGTTCAAAACAAGATGAAGGAGCTATCTTTTAGCAAAGCATACATGCAATTCATCACATAACTGCATGATGCGCGAGTGTGATCCATGCAGATGAGTGAGCTTGACAAACAACCCGTAGGACACACTTCTCCTGTCTTAATACACAGGCACTTTGCTGGAAATACTTCTTTGTTATACATGTGTGTTTCTGTGTTTGTTTATATAACTACTTTTATTTATAGCACTTCATTTTCGCATTGACAATTATTATCTCTTGTTCAAATACATTAAGAACAGCAGCTTCGCTAACAATTTTTTTTGTTCTCTATTTCCAACTGGGGATGCCCATCCAGAGTGTAGTGCCACTTTAATGAGATCCAAGTTCTGTGAAGAGATGATGCCAACCATCGAAGACTTCAAGCACAACACATACACTTAATAAACAAATAGACTGCATTAGGGCTGCACGATATTGCAATAGTATATCATTGCGATGTTTTTTATTCTGTGATATATATTGCGATGTGAATAAAATTTCACCGGATGACTTAATATTTCTATTTGGAAAAAATTTAGAATGTTAGATCGATTGGGATGACTCTGCAGTGGGAGTGCATCTCCTTAAAATTTAATGAACAATCTACAAACTTTTTGGGGTACCCCGACACTTTTTTGTTGTGCTCTGTGCTATTTGCAGTGCATTTCTGTATTTGCATGTGTTGTGAGTATTCTCATGCACGTGTTTGGTCAAAGATTGCTGAATTAATGTTTGCTATTTGCATCTCCATAAAATATAATAAACAATCTATAAACTTTTTGGGGTCCCTCGACTCATTTTCGTTGTGGTCTGCTATTTGCAGTGCATTTGTGCATTTGCATGTGTTAAGTATTTTCATGCATAACAATCTATAAATACAATCAAGAAAAAGATACAGTACAATTGAAATGTAGTGTTTTATCATGTCCAGAGTCTGACAGTATTCAAGTACAGTAACTGAATGATAAAATTAAAAATAATTTAATAAAACTAATCCTAGTTAAGGTCACAAATGGTACAAATTCTTATACCTAAATGATTTCAAAGTCATTATACAATTACAAACTATAATAACACATGAAAATTATAAATTATAATACAAACTCAACATTGCGTACACTCGCAATGTGACTATTGCAAATGAACACATTGCGACGTCGCTTCTGAAACAATATATTGTGCAGCTCTACACTCCAATAAACATGTACACATGGACATAACCTATATGCTATAAAACTGCAGGTTAATATGTTTATATATAATAATTTCAATTGTTTAAAGCTATTAGTTTCTAGCTGAAGTTATTAGTAATTAATAAACTTATGTTAACTAAAACCTTAACTTCTCCAAATTTGATTGTAATTCAATAATGTGCATCTTTTTAAAGCTCATTTGAAACATTAATTATTGAGAAAAGGACTATAGAAATAATCTTGAATTAAATTATGAAGACTGCAAAAATGAAAAAGATGGTAGTAATGCAGATAGGTGGAATTATGAAATGAGGAAAGCCCCTATAAAACATGCCTCCTATATAGTCATTGTTTTTCATGGTCTTGTTTACAGGAATCTGTACTTAGGTTCACTTTCGTAATGACATCATGGAGATTGCTTAAGAAGATGACTAATATCTGGGAAGCAACATGTAGTCTGAGATGTGTCTTGCCTACAAACATGATCAAGATATAAGAGTCAAAACTGCATAATCTGACTATATATGCACAAACGCACGCACACACACACACACGTTTGTTTTTGTGAAAAGTGGGGACATTATATAGGTTTCCATTCATTTTATACTGTCCAAACCATATATTATATTGCCCTCACCCCACCCCTAAACCCAACCATCACAGGAGACAGTGTGCAGCTTCACTCTCTGATTAAACTCATCCTGTAGGATTTATAAGCATTTTGAGAAATGAGGACGTCACCAATGTCCTCATATTTCACCTCCTTTTTGTAATACCTGTGTCATACCTACGTCATTATACAGATTTGTGTCCTGATATGTCACAAAAACACGTACACACACACACACACACACACACACACACACACACACACACACACACACACACACACACACACACACACACACACACACACACACACACACACACACACACACAGGGTGAAAATCTGTATGTTAAGCATCAAGTGTCCACTAAATGGCTACATCAGTGTTGTTTTACAGCAGTTTTGTGCTTAGTAAATTAGGAAATGTTTCACATCACTGGCAGTTAAGACAGTTCAGAGTATAGCAAAACATATATACCTAAAATAAAGAACGTTTTAACAAATTTTCTCTGTCTGCTACTGTTTAAACAAACAGCTTATCCTGCCTTGAACGTACACAATTAGCATCATTAGCAGATCCCTGTTGCAAAAGTTTCTCAGTAGCCAAAACAGACGTTTTTATGTTGACAGATACCAGGATAGCCAAAGGCACAACTTTATTTTCTTAAAACATCCATTTCCCTGATACATCTTATACACTCCCTGAAAATAAGGTATACGAGCTGTCACTGGGGTGGTACTGTACCTTTTTATAAGGTACACATTTGTACTTAAAGGGTACATATTGGTACCTTAAAAGTATACATTAGTACCTAAAAAATTTGAGAGGAACACTTTAGTTCTTTTTAGGTACGTATATGTACCCTTGAGGTATTAATATGGAGCTTTGAGGTACAAATTTGTACCACTGGAAAAGGTACCACCCCAGTGACAGCTCGCATACCTTTATTTCTGGGAATGTAGCAGGAAGCAAAAATAGCTTTAAACAGGCGATGTATCCTCTTATGTTCAGACATTTGCAACCATTTGCAGTCAGTCTACAGCCACACATATGCCTGATTCTCTAGAAAGATAATCGCTTAGACACTACAACCATCAATTAAATCAGGAATAAGAGCACACATACAGTACACACTTTAAACTCAACGACACCAGGTCAGCTATTATTATAACATTGTCTGTCTTTGACAAATGAAACACTTCCCATTTAAAGAAATAACTCATGTCTAACCTACTTTCAAGGATATGTGATACCTGAAACATTCAGACAGACAGGAAGAAACCAACAATACTCGTTCTCAAAACAGGAAATCTATTAGACAGACACAAACTGCTGACGGAGTAAAATGAATGTAAGAGATGTAACAATGAAGACCTTTCAGGAATATTTTGACTTAAAGGTTTATTTATTTGAATGAGATGATGAATGGATGTCGGTCTCCTCACCTTTATCTGCCACAGACAGTGTGCTGCTCAAGTACTTTTCCTCAAGCATCCATGATGCATCGTTCAGCTTGGACGAGATGCCACACGATCCCACACAGCAGACTTTAATGGCTGCAAAACATAATTAAAGGACACAATTACATTTCTGACATTTTTATTAATGATACTTTGGGCTTTTTCCCCTTGTCAAGTCATTTGGAAATGTTAAATGTGTGTGTGTGTGTGTGTGTACTTGTTAATGTGGTTTATGAGGACATATTCAAAACTGAATAATGATGCGAGTATGACCAGTGTTGGGCAATACGTGTTATCAGTAACTTGTTACTGTAACGGCATCATCTTTGACAGTAACTCATACTGTAAAACAAAATAACTCTGTTATCGTTACAATATGATGAGTTTGTCTGTTAGAAAGTTAATTAATTTTGGCTGCAGTCTAGCCAACATCTTCCTGTTTACAACAGCGACGCTTTGTGGGATTGGTGGATGCCAACCAACCACTGTAAATAAGAAGCGTCGTGCATGAGCGCCAGACTGGACAAAATTCCAGCAAAAGTGAGAGACAGAGTGAGCGAAGGGTAGACCAAGTGTGGACGCGAGAGAGACAGAGAGACTATTAACGTTACTATTATTAATTACTATTACTAATACTACTATGTTTCTTGTTTCAAATAAATAAGCAAACATTTGTTATCTGTATAACAAAATTGATTAGTTTAGTAGACACAGTGACACATTTCTGCTATATTTCAGAACACACCTTAATTTAAATGTATAGTGTTGTATAGCTCAGAAAAATGCTTATGTTTTGATTGTTTTACATATCTTATTAGCTGTGTACAATAGCAGATTTTGCACTTTGAAAATACACAGCTTACTTTCCATAAGCTGCTGACATACCACATTTAATTTGTGTTTAGTTTGAAGATTTCTCATAGATTTCATTTTTGAGCAGCTGTTATGTTTTTGTTTTGTTTAAAATGCATAAAATGTATGGTTGTCTGTAATAGCAGATTTTTTGTCCTGAGTTTCATCAAACTGATCGTGAATGATAATTCGGATTACTTTTACTTATTTATTTCATAAAGGTTTTGTGCTTGTTGTATATTGTGTATTTCATATTGTTGCTGGTTTTCATTTTCAAGCTGTGAAAGAACGTTTAAGAGTTAAATACAACAACTTTTATGATGCTGAAGTAACTTTAGTTTGGCTTTTTTGTTTTCTAAATATAAAATTCAGCTGGTTTATCACTTTGTGATATTTCTTTATTTTTGTGCTGCTGGACTTATAATAATAAGTTAGTGTTTAAAAATAATTAAACAGTGTTTTACTTTTTACTTAGGTTGGTCTTTTGTTTTAGTTGTTAGAATGGAAATTAATTAAAACAGTGAAGCTGAACAACAGTGTATTCTCCATGCAGCACTGAAGTGATGTTATAAGAGCATTAATGGGAGCATTAAAAATGTTCGTTGAAAAAGTAACTCAAATATTACTTTTAACAGTAATGCATTACTTTTTGGTGTAAGTAATCGATGAAGTAATTGAGTTACTTCTTGAATGAACCAACTAGGAACTGTAACTAGTTACTATTGTACTGTAACTAGCACAACACTGGGTATGACTTAGTAGTACTATATTAAGGTGGTTTATGAGGACATACTTTACATGTGTCCTCATAATTTAAAACGCATAAAAATCATACTTAACGGGGTCTTTTGACATTCAAAATACGCCATAGGTTTCTTGTGAGGGTTGAGTTTAAGGGTTGGGAAAGGTCCTGTAAATATTTTTACACTTTACATACACACACACACAATATGTGCATTATTAGTACATTCCTGCATTGAGTTAGCACATACAGTCCTCAGCATAAGTACACCCCTCACAAATCCACTTTCATATTCATTCTTTTAATAGCAGACTATACAATAATATATTTGTGCATACACATTAGTTTAGTGAGTACTGAAGCCAAATCTGGAGCTTATCTAACAAAATAACTTACGACAACAGTCCAAAAACTAGTACACACAAATGTATATGTTACAGAAAAATCATAAATACAAATTAAAAATGGAGAAAAAAAATTAAAAATTTAGTTGAAATTTTGTAGGTTGTCATTTTTTTTTTTTTTTTGCAATATTTAGCTTGAATTTAATTGTCTTATCTTTCAATCTCTAAATATTTTTTGGTGACTAAAATATTATTTTAATAAATATATCCGTTTAATAAATCTGTTTTGTTTAAATGCACCAAATTACTTTGCCTATATATTCACTGAGAAATGGATAAAAACATTCATTTTCAAAATGGGCTGTACTCAATTATACTGAGCACAGCATAGCCCGGCCTCTTCCTTCAACACTTGATAAACTGTAATCCAGTAATGTACAGTAAATACAGAAAATAAGGTCAAATATAAGCATATTTTAAGTGCTTTTCCGACCTTCCATTCATATCAACCTGTTATTAGGAATTTCCAAAACCAAAATAGGAACCTTTCCCATGTTAGATGCACTTTAAAGGTAACCATAAAAATCTATTTCACATTCCTGCTCATACCTGTTCGACCTCTGATAAGGCTCTTCCCGAAACAAGCAAGCAAAACTTCCTCCACACCTTCAGAAATTCCTATAAACTCTCCACCATTCAAGATGAAGAAATGACGCAGGGACAGGTTTGCTAAGTCTAATTGCTGTGGATTTTCCCAGTAACAGATTCAATGTCGTGCTCTTGATGTCAAACACAGAACAGGAATGGTGACTATTTTCCTTTTACGAACAACCTATCTGATTTCAATTTAAGCTCAACAGACATTCCATACCAATTAAATATTCACTCAGAAGGAAAAACCCCATTGTCTGAAGCGCAACGGAGAAACAGCTCTCCCTATTTGCATTACAATTACTTGATGCTAACTCTCCAAACAGGCTTTATCAGGGAGCACCCAGAAACAAAAAGATGTCTGAATGTACAAAACCCAGACAGACCAACGCAAAACCCCTCAAATAAATAAATAAATAAATAAATAAATAGCCTCAAATCATCCTTTTCAGCTTAGAGGTCAAGGTCACAAGATGCGGACAAGAGATTTGCATGTGTATGGCTGATGCATTGGTGCTTTCAGAATCAGAATCAGTTTTATTGCCAAGTGTGCTTCACACACACAAGGAATTTGTTTTGGCTACAGAAGCTTCCAGTGTACAAAGTGACAAGTGACAACACAAAATAAATACGAAAAAAGATGATAAACATTAAACAGAGATGCAGTTAGTCAAGAAATCTGGATGTTGAATGTTGAATTGTATGTACAAAATTGTATTTTACCACTGTTATGCCACAAATAGATGAACATTTTAACATTTAGCATGAACTGAAACAGTCCTTAGTTCAAAACTAAAGGAGACATATCACAAAAATTAGCAATGTTCCAATACTTCTTTTCCCTTTCCAATACCAATTCTGATAGCTGAGCTCAGGGTATCGGCCAATACAGAGAACTGAACCTATGTCTGTGTCTGTATCTGTAGAGTTGTGTATACTACTAGCCCTGTAGACTTCTGCATTCATGGTTTTAAATACTTGCCGATAATAATACCAGAATTTTTGCAGTATCAGCATTCTGATATTTGTATCGGCATCGGAACAACCCAAATAAAAATCCGATATTTCTGTGTTATCCTACACAGGTTTATGTTATTTGCTAATTAATAACCATCTCATGTGGAACTCTAAATTCACATAATTTCAGAGTCCATTACTGTTACTATTGGAGGTTGCATTTTCAGTCATGGATGCATGCTTTAAAAGCCTTCATGACTGAATGAATCACACCAAGGCAACCCGGGGTGCTGCAAACATATTACAGTATTTTTAAGCTTTAGAAGAGTCAGAAACTTACAGGCCCTTTAACATGTTTTGGTACATGTAGAAGAACCTCTTCTTCTTTATCATTATCCAACTGATTAAATAGGTGAGGCTCCCCTTCACTATTGCAGATATTACTAATATCTGATATTCCGGCTGTTTTGTTGTTTTTGGAATATTAGAATATAGCATGTGAAGGCTCCGCCCTCTTTTGGAAAGCAGCAGCTCATTTGAATTGCTTTTGTGCACACCCAAATGGCGCAAATTTGACAAGTTATAATAAATAATATGCAAGGTATTTTGAGCTGAAACTTAACAAGCTGTTTCCATCCAAAAATTCAAATTAGACTTCTGCGACAAGCTAAAAAATCATAAAACATTTGTGAATAAACCACTGTTTGCATCCAGTGAGTCAAGAAGAAACTATTACCAACTAATAAAAAAGGGATTTTCTGAAGTAGAAACTAAATTGCACATCAGAATATGTGCACATCTCAGCTATTAAGCAGTTTTAAATTTGTAATTCCAACCTGTCATAAAAATAGGTGGATGAAAACATAGCTACCGACACATTCTGAGCACACCAGCAGTAATTTGTCCCTTTACTACTCAGACAAACCTTAAACATCTTGCTTGACCCAGTCAGGCAATTCACAAATACACAGCGCATGCACACATCTGACTTTGAGTGAAAAGAGACAAACTGACTGAGCCATGTGACCACATGCTGATCTGATTATGTAATGGGCCAGAGGTGGGTAAAGCCCAAGGAATCTCAACTGGATTGACTCAAAGCAGCACGCCACAGCAAACACCATCATTAGTTTCGCTTTCATATACAACTCAGGAAGCAATGTTCTTCATTTTAACAACCCTCATGAGAAAATGAATCCGATTTTACATTGTATTAAAAAAAAGCAGGATGAGAGATATGAGAGAGAAGAAAAAATGACTACATGAATATTTTTTTTACTTTACCACAACAGCAGCTCTGGATTTTTGTGATGATACCTTGATAAAACAAGACAATATTTGAGCTTTGAGCTTTTGCGATGCACATTTTCTTTAGAAAGTTCACAAGTATGAAAAGTAACTGCAAATTTTCTCAGTGTCTAAGCATAAGTGACACAAAATTTTAAAGTATTATTAAATTAACACAAGTTTTTAGAGAAGCAAGTTCCTGAGGAGATCTAAAAAACAAACCAACATTTAATCCAAAGCTCTGGGCATAGCTTGCAAGTAAA